AAACCATGCTGCTTTTATGGCGGGTATTTTAATAGTGACCACTTCCGCTGTATATAACATAATCCCTAAATGACGCACATAATTTCCGGAATCATAGTGTTACTAATTCATAATGTAGGATAATACATCCCTCCATAATTGTTTTTGAATTTAACGTTAGCTTTAGTATAAGTTGCACACAATCATTAGTTTTGAATTAAACAGCAATAAAACACATTTTACTGAGTTTGGTCTTTTGTATTAGTCACAGTCCTGAATGAGTTAATGAAACATTTGACTAGAACGTGAATGGAATCAAATACTGGTTCAATCGTTAAATGACACAGAGAGTTCACATTTAGCCATGTCCATAACCGCACAAACAAACACAAATATCAAGTTTGAACTAGAAAACAGGTTTATAAAACCTGTGTACATTGAAGGGATTATTATGCCCTTGTTAGCATCAATGTGCTTTTAACTTTTTTAGCCCACCATCATCTGATGGTGGGCTATCTGATGGTGGGCTATTCAAATCAACCTGCGTTCGTGGTCCGTCGTTCGTCCTTAAACAATTCTTGTTATCGTTATTTCTCAAGAAGTACCAAAGGGATCTTTCTCAAGTTTTATATGTAGGTTCCCCTTGGTCCTGAGCTGTGCTGATCGGATAAACGACATGGCCGACAGGGAGCCATCTTTGATTTTGATAGTGAAAGTTAGTTATCGCTTTTTCTCGGGAAGTACCAGAGGGATCTGTCTCAAAGGTAGGGTCAACGCCTATGGAGATTTAACATTAGCGTCGGCCCCCACATGGAATTTCAAAACAAGATAAATCCAAAAGGATATGGGTATAGGAACCTTAAATCAGGAACAGTTAGTTTCAGAATTCATTTGATGAAAAATGGGACCTCCTTGACTTAAACCTGTGTGGGTGTTAAAGGTGCAGTAATTCAATACCTTCTAGAGCATTTAAATGGCACAATAACTATAAAATCATATCATCATCGTGTGCTATTTTGATACCGAATATTACACTATTTCAATAAAGAATTGTTTTTTTCATTTAAGAATTAAGCAGAAAAATGTGTGAAATTTCATTTTTCCATTTTTCACACGTTTAATCATTTAGTTCTAAAACTAGTCTATTTTTCTTACTTGTTAAAACGTTGGCTACCAATAATATCTTTCAACATTCGGAATTTCAAAAAAATTGAAAACCGGTAAATTTGTCGTACATTTATACTACTTTTGGTTCAAAAAAAAAGAAAAACATAGCTTTCTTTCCACATTTCCTTTAACCTGTGTTTCTTCATGACTAAAGGTCATCGGATGTTGATATTTGGTAGGAAGGTTGTTCATGTAAATGAGTTTAAGTGTTGTTAATTTTGATGACCTTGACCTTTGTGCCGAAATATTTTATTTGTATGGGGAGTCAGACAAGGGTATATTTCCTTGCTATATTTGTTTAGAGTTAACGATATAAAATAGTGTAATATCCCTTCATATTTTGTTTAATGAATGGTCAAAAGGCTACAAAAATAATAACTAGAACTGTAAGCCAAAGATTAACTAAAACCTCCGCTCCTATATAAACCAGAGCTGTAATTTAAAGGCTAACAAAGGCAAAGCATTGTAAATTAATCCATAGTCTCCCACCAGTAATTATGTATGTATATATGTCACTGACATACTTCTTGTACTCCCTCCCTATGCCAAAACATACTTTCATACCACATCTTGTTATCCTAGATTATCCTTTTGCTGAAATCGTTCTAGTAGTTAAGGAAGAGTTATCAAGA